ACCTTTTCATAGAGGAAATATGACGTCCTAATTTTCTCAGTTACACTGAAGTGTTAGCTGTTGCAACCAAACTGTGCTTCACTGGTATTGTTTTTTTGTTTGCTTGTTTGTTTTTATAACAGTAATTTGGAACAATGAAGCAGTGATAAATAAGTGCTAAGAAGGAATAAAATAAAATGAGTTTAAATTCATTGCAAACGTAAGTTAAATAAACAAATCAACTCAAGTAATACAGGTACAATAATTGGCAAAATATTAGCTTTTTCTGAGTAAAGAAATACCAGCAATTTCTTTTACATTCTAATATTTTTATTTCAATGGGTCATTTAGAAAATAAGTTCACCTTACATATTAACATTTGATTGGACAAAAACAAATTTGAGGGCAATACTGAACAAGAAATTGGTTCTACAGCAGTAACGTACTTTCATAGTTTATGAATGAATGGAGAGCTTATGGGCGAGAATTAAAGGGCAGGCCAGTGTGGGTTACATCATTGTGGGTGTTGACTACAGGCTGCCTGATTAGGAGGAGGAAACTCCTCCTGATAAAGCCTTCAAAAGACAGCTGGAAGTAGTTTTGCGATTCCAAGCGCTGGTACTCATGGGGGACTTCAACCACCTTGATATCTGCTGCCAAACCAACACCACCAAGCAGATGAAGTCCAGCAAGTTCCTGCAGTCTATGGAAGGTAACTTTAAAGATGAGGGTGGTAGTGGAGCCAATGAGGAAAGAGGGATGCTGCTTAACCTTGTTCTTACTAAGAAGGAAGGAATACATAGGGATGTGAAGGTTGAGGGCAGCCACCTTGGGTGCAGTAACCACAAGACAGTAGAGCTCAGGATTTCATGTGGAAGAAGCAAGACAGTAAGCAGGATTGCAATCCCGGACTTTAGGAGAGCCAACTTTGACTTCTACAAGGACATACTTGGAGGTATCCCATGGGGTAGAGCATGAGAAATAATGGTACCCAAGAGAGTTGATTAACATTCAAACACCATTTTCTCCAAACTCAAGATGGGTGCATCCCTAAGAGAAAGAAATCAGGCAACAGTGACAGAAGTCCTGCATGAAAGAACAAGGAACTCCTGGAAAAAAACAAATATGAGAAGAATGTTTAGCCTGGCCAGTTGAGAGGAAAACAGGAATTTTCAGGGCGCACAGAGATGCAGCAAGGATAAATTGTAGAGAACCTGCTTTAGCAGAGGAGTTGGACTAGATAAACTCCAGTGGTCTCTTCCAACTTCTACCAGAAGAAAATCCAACTGCCAGCAGAAAAAAACAAAAAAAGTTAATCATTCAACTTTACAGGAAAAAATGGCATGAACCTTAGACCTTCAAAGAAAGTTGAACGATAGAACAGAAAAACTCAAGTCAGTTTTAAAATGACTGGGTGAATAAACAACACTTTAGAAAACATATGATACACTACTTGTCCCAGCTTCTGCAGAAAGTGTATCTGTCACATGCAGCCACTGAGTGGAAATTCTGCCAGCAACAAGAGCGTAAGAGAATGGAAGCAAAAAGGAAGGCCACCTTAAACATCCAAGCTATACCAACAAGTAAGGGACACTAATCACACTACAAATTAATAGGAAAGATTTACTGTGGGATACTGGGCTTGAATTATAGTTCAACTGTAACCATCAGATGTTATTTTTCAAAATATTAATCTATTACAGAATCACAGAAGCATATACTCTGTTGGGTCGGAAGGGACCATTGAAGGACATCTAATCCAACTCCACTGCAATGAACAGGGCAAGCTCCAATAGATCAAGATTCTCAAAGCCTGGTTCAGCTGATCTTGAATGTGTCCAGGGTCACAGCATGTACCAACCCTCTGTACAACTTGTTCCACTGCTTCACTACCCTTACTGTAAAAAAAGTTCTTTTCCTACATTCAGTCTAAATCTCTCCTCTTTTAGGGGATTTCCCCTTGTCCTGTCACAACAGACCCTGATGAATAGTCTGTCCCCTTCTTTCTCATAGCCTCCTTTTAGATACTGAAAGACTTCTACAGGCTTCCCTGGCCATCTCTTTTCCAAGCTGAACAATCTCAACTCAGCTTTCTAATAGGGAAAGCATTCTATCCCTTGAATCATTTTTGTGGCCTTGCTCTGGATGCACTCTAATAGGTCCGCATCTCTGCTGCACTGAGGATTCCGCATCTGGATGCAGTTGCTCCTGAAGCAACCAGAGCAAGCAGAGGGGCCTCTTCTTCATCCTGCTTTTGATGCAGCTCAGAATACAGCTGGTCTTCTGGGCCATGAGGGCACATTGCTAGCTCATGTTCCGCTTGCTGTCTACCAGGACCCCAAAGTCCTTTTTGGTAGGGCTGTGATAGATATATCCCTCCACCAGATTATAATGATCATAGGGGCTGCTGCAACCCAGGTGCAAGATTTTGCACATGGCTTTGCTGAGCCTCAGGATGTTCCCTTTGCACCACTGCTCAAGCCTGTCTAGGTCACTTCTCCCATCTGAAAAAATAAAAAATAAAAGGCAAAAGCAGAGGAATAATTAGTGACACAGATAGGCTGTGAAGTGTATTTTCAGGAATACTTTCTGAATTGTTAAACAGCCACTTTACAGAATTATGACTATTGATGTCTGACTCCTTTGGCAAATTTGGTAGCTTCCAGCTACAGGGATTATGCATGAAAACACTGTTGAAGTGTTAAAGGCAAGTCACGTATCACTGATTAGGTATGCCAGTATAAGACAAATGATCTGCAGAATTTGAAATGAATTGCAGTGAAATAAGTTCCATAAAATCTATTCATAGAGCTGCAGTTAAATTGAAATACATTAAAATGAGTCCCATAAGTTCCTAGCTGCAAATTCCATCTTCTTCTGAAAGCCAAAATAATTGGACTAAAACCAAGAATCTATTCTTCCATTTCACCTACACTAATACAGTTTGATTGCTAAGAGCTTAAAAGCAATTCCCTTATTTGATAGCAAACAGATTTTATCACCTAAAGCAAATTATTTATAACTTAAGTAGTTACATTAGTAGATTTCTCTTTTTTAATTAGCAGCATGCTGAAAAATAGTATTCCATTTAAACTATTCAAACATTATAATCAACAGGGGCTTGGATATTTATAATTTTTCATATTGCCTCTCTCTTGCCCCGGAAGAGTTAGTCAGATTTTCGCTGACGAAAAAGGTGATCCAACAATGATATGTTTTCTGTTAGTAAAAATGTCAGTGATAACCCTTTTTCATAATATACTTTTAATAACATTTCTGAAAGAAAAAGAAGAGGAAAAAGGTATAGGTGGACAAATAATCCTATTCTCATGGAAATACAAAAAAAAGAAAAACATAATCCAGCACGCAGTATTCGAGTACATACTGAAAAACATTCCTCTAAGAGGCATTGCTATAATAATTTAAAGGAGGAAACATCTCACAGGCACTATGCCATCTACAAGAAACCAAGGACAAAATACTGCCTTCTGTTTTGATCTGTAGAAAAACCACACTTATATGTGACTTCAGATAGCCAAATTGAGCTTGCTGATGAAACAAATACTTCAGAACGCTCACACAAGAATTCAAATGAAAATCCTGTACTACACAGAAGTTTCAAAAAAGTACAATAAACAAGGAACTGCACACAAGCTATGAACTAGAACAGAGACTGACACAAGTCTTACACAAGGGCTGTGTGCATTGCCTTTGACAGCTCAAGCTGCTGTGCATCTTTTCATTACAAGGGCCAGAGGCCATTAAACTCTCCAGGGTACAGGTGCTCTATCTCACTATTTCAATATCAGTATGAATGTAAGGGAGCTGGTAAGGAACAAAATCAAGTATCTCATAAGAACCAACAGAACAGGAATCCTAAAGCAATGGCACCATTCAGGCATCAATTTGAATTCCAAAGAAATTCAAACCTATGGTATTACAGACAAGTTCTGGTCACAGCAGAAACAAAGTCTGACCAGTTTCCGCATGCTTAATTGACAAGCAAACTCATTAAAAAAAAAAAAAAAAAAAAAAGACATGTTTCCTTTCAAAAACTTACAATCAATCAAACCACTAAAATTTTCAAGCCTTCAGATTTGGAAGTTCTTTATTATGAATGACACATAACAGAAACGACAAATAAGCATAAATGGAACTTTTTATAGAAATCCATTTCTAGAATTCTAAAATCTATTTCTGAATTCAGGTGTTCAACCCAGAGAAATCATAGTTATGCATGATGAAGTGCCACTACTATGTTTACGTAACATGAATAAAAATGAGTTCAATCTAATAATGGGAGAAATTCAATCTTTGATGTCAGTGATTCAGTTAGACAAAATCTAAGTTTTACTTTCAAAAGTTACATTTAAGACTGCTGTGCTAAAGCGACACTCAGGTATCTCTCAAAAAAATTCTTTGAGAAAAAGTTCAATACCTTTTATGAATGCAGCAAAAGGAACATATGTCCATTAATTATATTATGTTAATATCAATGGTATTTTCATATGTGCAGGGAGAGCTGCAATAATTGCATAAACACAGCACACAACATCAACAGTTTTTAATGTGGAATTAGTGGAAAGCAAGTTTCTGAATACAACTGTGGGTTTTCATGACACTATAAAATTCAACTTTCACCTTCTCTGTTAGTGCAATGCAAAGTACCCAGCCAGGAAAAGAATCCATGTTTCACTGCACATGGTCTAACACTTTTGTAAGAGCAAAAATTTTCAACACAAACTCATTTTCAATTTTATAAAAAAAAATGATACACTGAAGTTGTGTTAAATGAAAAAAAATTCAAATGACAAAATGAAAAAAACCCACCAATGTCAAGTCAACCTTCTCATAAGCTCACACTTTTTTTCATCGTTGTTTAAGTTCTCCTTATCAGCTGGTACAATTGAAAAGGAAATGAAGACTTCAATTAATTTCCTTAACTAAAATCCTCCTTTTGACCTGGTCAGAAAGTAAACATCTCTTATAAACATATCTTTAATTTACATATTAAAACTTGCCTGCCTGGGAAATCGGAAGACAGAATTTTTGTAAAATATATCTTTAGCCTGGCTCCAAGTTCCATCAATGATGATCATAACTGGTGGACTAGAAGACATCACAGTGACTTCTTCCAAATTGGTCGCTTCAGCTCCAGGATACAAAATAAAAGTACTGGGATTTCTGCATACAGCTGCTAGCTCAGGATACCTTCAATGAACACAGAAGAAAACAATAATTACTACAAGTGTCCATGACAAATATGTACTTCCAGATATTCTATATTGCTAAATCCAATTAGTCTTCTCCAAAGTTCATTTGAGTTTTTAAAAAAACACTTAGTTACTAATCTCTCTTTCCAGCACTTCGAGAAAAAGTATTGGAGTACTGTGCCCAGTTCTGGAGCATGCAGCACAAGGACATGAAGCTGTTTGGAGCGGGTTCAGACGAGGGCCACAAAGATGGTCAGAGGGCTGGAGATCCTACGAGGACAGGCTGAGTAAGCTGGGGTTCTTCAGCCTGGAAAAATGAAGGCTCCAAGGGACCTTGTAGCAGCCTTTTAGTACCTGAAGGGGCTAACAGGAAAGCTGCGGAGGGACTCTTCATAAGGGCATGTAGTGACAGGATGAGGGTAAATGGCTTTAACCTGAAAGAAGGTAGATATAGAATAGACATTAGGAAGAAATTCTTTACTGTAGGGGTGGTGAGACACTGGAACAGGTTGCCCAGAGGAGCTGTGGATATTCCCTCCCTACAAGCACTCAAAACCAGGCTGGATGGGGCTGTGAGCAACCTGGTCTAGTGGGAGGTGTTCATGCCGATAGCAGGGGATTGGAACTAGATGATCTCAAAGGTCCCTTCCAATCCAAACCATTCTTAGTACTGACCCTCCCTTCAGTTCTTAGGATGAAGGAAAAAAAAGCCACAAAAAAAAATCACGGAAAACACTAATGAAGTAATCTGTCAGGAATATTTTCCAATACTTCAAGTCTAAGAATATCCTCCACAGTACATCTGAACCAAAGATATCATGAACTGTTTACTAGAATTTAATATATGTATTCATATAAAATTTGTTCAAGAGCTAAACACAGAATTATTAGTTTCCTCATTTTTAATCTTGTATATATAAGGAATAACAGCAATCCTGATTCATGTCTACATGAATACATTTTTGAGAAGTTCAACATTTCAATTTTATTTATTACTATTTCTCTTGCTACCGTCCCAAAATATATACATTCTCTTTTTTCTTCCTGTAAACATCGCAATAGAATCAGGAATTCTAAGCTATTCTCTATTAAGTGTTAATATACACAGAAATTCCTGAAGTTTTTGCAAGACACTACTATAAGTTACTTTATAAAAGCTATGAGAAGCATTATTATTTAAATATCACATTGTACATCTTAAAAAACACCTAGTACGACAGATTAGATGGTAAGAAGCCTTCTGAGAAAAAGCTAGCAATGCTTAATAATTATTTTTGAGTTGATATATAGCAGGTGCACTTCAAACCTATGCAACCCATTACCAATCTTTGGGGACATATATGAAAACAGATTTTAATCAGTATGAGGTTTCAACACAATTGCACTGTCTAGGACATTGAGATTCTGAGCTTAAAACCAGAAATGAAAGAGGAAATGAATTCAGTGTACCAACAGGTTGAGAGCCAGTACACCAATATTTGACCATTCTCAGTTCCCAAGCAAACAATCGAGGCTGATTTAACAATACTTAGTTAATTACTGAAGAGAATATTTACTATAAAAAGAGTAGCAATACTTACTTACAAAACAAACAATATAAGAAGTGTAAACAGAGGCAGGAAATAACGTAAGATAAGTCTGTGGCAAATAGAATGACAGAGATTTATCTGCCCATCACTTTTTTTTAACCTTACTTCCATTATCACATCAGTTTAAGGAAAAATCAGGTACACAAAATCAGAGCCAAGGAGTATCTCATTACAGGCTACATTGTACTCAAGGTTTAAATCTACAAAACTGTTCACTAATTTCAGATGTTCGTTCTGAGAGCCCAAACCCTCAGAAGTGCTAAGTACCTTTATTGAGTGTTGGGAGAGCTTTCCAGTAATTAAAAACTCTTATCTAGTTAAAATAAAAAAGTCTTTGAAATGGGGGTTTAGCCTTGAAGATAGGAGAAAATGCAAATTTTCTCTTAATACTAATGCAAACCCATAATCATTCTGCAGCAATGGAAGTCATGTTTTGCTTTTAAACAAGTGCTAAAAAGATGACACTGTGTACAAACGCACAAAATTCAACTCAGTGCATGGTTAAACTTAACAACAACGTCTTCTTTCATGTAGGGCACACTTGTTACATACTTTAACTTGCTTTTTTTCTTTTTTTTTTTTTACTTTAAAGATTTCTTATTTTTCCAACAAATTAAAGGCCATATGTACATATAGTATACATATTATAAGAAATGTAAATACTTACGTCATTAAAAGTATGAAAATACAGTAAAGAAATGAAAGACAAGTAAATAAAGCATTTCAGAATGCTAACACACATAGAAATCCAAGATGATCAGGTTTGCAACCACCTGGAACCTGAACATTCACAAATCTACACGTACTGATGAGATGCACCCCAGAGTCCTAATGGAACTGGCTGATGTTGTCACTAAGACACTCTCAATAATATTTAAAAAGTTAAGGCAATCAGGTGAAGTCCCTGGTGACTGGAAAAAAGGCAACATCACACCTATTTTTAAGAACAGTAGAAAGAATAAGCCCAGGAACTACTGACCTGTCAGTTTCACTTCTATGCCAGGAAACATCTTGGAACAGATCTGCCTGGAAGCAATGCTAAGGCACACAGAAGACAGTGAGGTGTTACAGGAGAACCAGAATGGCTTCACCAAAGGCAAATCCTCTTTAACCAACCTTTTATGATAGTGTAACTGCATCAGTGGACAAGGGAAGTGCCACTGATGTCGTCTACCTGGACTTCAGCAAGGCCTTTGATATGGTACCCAACAACATCCTTCTATCCTAATTGAAAAGATTTGGATTTGATGGGTAGACTGTTCAAAGGACAAAGAACCTGCTGCAGAATTGAATCCAGAGAGTGGCGGTCAATGTCTCAATGTCTCGATGGAGATCAGTGATGAGTAATATCCCCAGGGGTCAGTGCTGTGACTGATACTATTTAGTATCTTCATTGATGTCATCCACAGTGGAGTTGAGTGCACCCTCAGCAAGTTTGTAGATGACACCCCAGTGTGTGGGGTGCAGTCAACATGCCCAAGGGACAGGATGCCATCCAGACAGACATAGAAAGGCTGAGCAGTGGTCCCAGGAAAACCTCATGAAGTTCAACAAAGCCAATTGTTGCACCTCCGTTACCAATAAAACCTGGAGGATGAAAGAACTGAGCACAGCTCTGCTGAAAAGGACTTGAGAGTACTGGTGGATGGGAAGCTGGATATGGGAAAGCCCTGAGAGCCAAGAAAGCTAACCATATCTTAGGCTGCATAAAAAGAAGTGTGGCCAGCAGGATAAGGGAGGTGATCCTGTTCCTCTGCTCTGGTGAGATCTCACTGGGAACACTGCGTCCAGATGTGGAGTCCTCAGTACAGGAGAGACATGGAGCTGTTGGAGTGCATCCAGAGGAGGGCCACAAAAATGATCCCAGGGATGGAACCTCTCCTACAAGGACAGGCTGAGAGAGCTGGGACTGTGCAGCATGGAGAAGACAAGGCTGTGAGAAGACCTAAGAGCAGCCTGTCACTATCTAAAGGGGAGCTATAAGAAAAAATGGGACAGACTCTTCAGTAGAGTCTGTGGTGATAGAACAAGGGGAAATGGTTTCAAACTTAAAAAGGGGAGATTTAGGTTGGATATAAGGAAAAAATATTTTACAGGAAGGGTGGTGAGGCACCAGAACAGGTTGCCTAGGGATGTGATGGATGCCCCATCCCTGGAGATATTCAAGGTCAGGCTGGACAGGGCTTTGGGCAACTTGATCTAGCTGTAGGTATCCCTGTTCACTGCAGGGGAGCCAGACTAGATAACGTTTAAAGGTCACTTCCAACTCTATAATTCCCAGAAGCAAAAATGAACACCCAGTGAAAAGCTCCTTAAGAAAACTACACAAGAGAAAATGCAAACATTACTTCTGAAGTCTGAGTCTTTGCAAGAGTCATTCACAGGAAAACAACAGCTTCTGATGCACTGGTGTCTTCAAAGAGCTATCACTAACTTCAGCTATCAATGTCATGGTTTTGTGATTTTTGGTTTTCGGTATTCCACATCATAACATCATGTGGGGCAGTGGGAGTTTAACTGTTAATGCTCAAGCTCTGGGTACCTGCCTGGAAGAGAAGAACTACATTCCCCAGGGGACTTTGCGGTCACAGAGAGTCTCGAGATACAACTCCTGGCAAGGTCACCTGATGCGCTCTTCTTTTGCCTGCTTTTCGTTGGCTCTCCTCCCTTTTTCTCCCTGCTGCTCAACTGGACTGCGCATCTCACCTCAGCTCTCCGCGTTGTGGTGAGGCCTATCCACCTTTCGGACATTCTCATTATATTTTATTTATTAGCTTCAAATTTAATTATATTGTATTATAGTGTGTTATCTTGCATTCTGATAGTATATTTAGTAAATTAGTTTGTTTCTCCTCAGATCATTGCTGCTGTTTTTAATTATTTTGGGGTCCCCTGTTCCCTTTTTCCGGAGGCGCGGATCTGCGGATCCCTCTGCCCCGCTAGTCACAGAACCAGGCCGAACCAGCCCGTAAAATGTTGACAAAGAGCTATCACTAACTTCAGCTATCAACTGATTTCATTCTAGAATGACAAAGGGCACATACAGAGAGCTATTTAGAGCTTTCGTATTAACAGTTTCTCAGAAATCCATGCAACCTTTTCCAGGTTATAGTTCACACAAACAGTACCTGCTGCCATCCATCACACAGCAACAAAATGTAACAGAATACTGGTGGGAAGGTTCAACCTCTCCTGCTGTACCACCAATATCTTTGACATTTCACCGACATAATAAAAGAAGAGGCGTTACTTCCAGAGTAACTCTCACACATATCAAGAATATCAGTTTTCACTGATATGTAAACAATAACATGTTTCTGATGAGTTTGCTTTGGTAAACACTGTAATACACTCTATTTAATTACACAGTATTTATGAAGTGCTGCTATATATTGTGGTAAGAAAGGAT